AAAAAGTGGCAAACCCACTTGCTGCTTTCTTTTATCTGATTATTGTAACAAAAGTAGTTAATACGAATCTTAATCAATATTACTATAAACAATATTTACATATTTTGGAAGCATACTAAATGAAAGAAAAGAGAAAGTATTTGACAGCAAGCAGAAAGAAGCAGTTTTTCGGGAGTTCAGGAAGAACATCTTTAAAATCAGTCCGGAAGAAAACAGAACCTTTGACACGCAACACGAAGCCCAGGTAAATGACTCTCAGTGAACAAGCACAGATTGATACCGTATAATGAAGCAAATATATACAGGTTTCATGGCGACGACACTCAAACGAGACCAATATCAGTGAAGAAATAAAAACGATCATAAGTAAATTCAAAGACGAAGCACGGGCGAAAGCGGAATCAGAAAGACAATTATGCAAAAGACTACCGGAAGCAGCAACAGAAAAACTAAAAGAAATCTTCAACTGGTCCCTCTCTATGGGTTATTTTCCCGACAAGTTTAAAAAGGCGGTAATGATCCTCGTGCCAAAAGCAGGAAAAGACCCGAGGAAAGCCGAGAATTACCGACATATCTCTTTATTAGTCAATGATTCTGCTGAGGATCTGATCTCTTGATAATTTGTCGTCGTATATGTCAGGATGGTAGTATGTGTACTTCATTAGTCTTGACTTGAACTGTGAGATCTCTGGGTGCGATGGTCTCCTGGGGATGAACCCGATGCTTTCGACTCTCGCTCGTGGTCCGATCTCTGGCGGCATCACTCTCGTCGCGCTGGCTTTCCGCTCGGGTTGTCTTCGTGGCTTCGGGCGGGCTTCCTCTTCCTCTTGGTGGTGCATCGGGCGGGCTTCCTCTTCCTCTTGGTGGTGCATCGGGCGGGCTTCCTCTTCCTCTTGGTGGTGCCTCGGGCGGGCTTCCTCTTCCTCTTGGTGGTGCCTCGGGCGCGGGAGTCGGTATTCCTCGGCGCTCTCGGTCTGCCCTCGCTGCGACGCTTCCTCGATCGCCATTTTCTTTGCCGTTTCCTGGGTTGGCGATGTTTCTCTGCCTCTCTTGTTGTTTGTTTCGTTCCTTTGCTCTTTCCTTGTCGAATACTTCGGTCCCGATGTCTGAATTATTTCCCATTAGTCCGCCTAGTGCTTCTTTGGCATTGTTTTGAGATGGGAATTTGACTCTCGTGATGTTATTTAGGTCATACATCTCATCGCCTGTTTTCTGGAAGCTGCCTGGCTCTTTGGCTCCCTGAATGTATGCAAAAATGATTGCACTCATTATGCTCGCCACTGCATTCGCTGGTAGGGATTTCAATGCTGTTTCGGGGTTGACAGCGGTAGCTGTTCTATTTATCTGGGCGCGTTGGGAAGCTTAACCACCTGTTAGACCTCTGCCCAGCCGTTCTCTCCTTCGATCGTTTCTTTGATTTCTCTTTCTTCATAGTCCACGATTGAAGTATTATCAGAGGAGGTTGCACAACACTTAGCTAAATGCTTGATCAACATTTTCAGGTTGGACCAAGTTCGCTCCCCGATGTGCCGCTGTGCAGTGCTCGTCGCAACTCCAGGATGGCAGAGAAGCAGGCAACCCCGCCTGCTTTTTTATTTATTTTTTTATTTATTTTTATTATAATATATCATTATGTGTCATGTCATATTTACAGCCTTATTGTCGGTGTATTTTGAGTCTACATGTACAAAATCTATCATGGAAGACTAAAAAAAAAAGAAACCCTAAAAATGATAAATATATTGCCATTTCTCATTTCCTCCTTATTGCAGTAACGATACCCAATAGCTAAAAAATATCCCGTTTCCAACAAGAAAAAGAAAAGCTATATACTCCATGTTAATATACTAGCTATAAAGTGTTGATTATGCAAGAAGTCATACACATTATCTGTACTCATTTGGCTTATGGTTCAGTATGTCTCGACACGTGTTGGTTCCGGAGCTGAGTCGAGCCGCTTCGAGCCACGAAATACTTGCTGTTACCTTAGTTTATTATCTTTATTACACTCTCGACGTCAATTTCCAACCCTGTGACGAGGGAAGGAAGACATTAAAAGAAGAAGGAAAAGATATTAGCAAGGAAATACAGATTGATGGGTTTTTATTCAAAGTTGAAAAAGTAGTTCACCGCACACTCGCCTGCCATTCTGTAGTACTGACGAGGGAGAAATAGATTTTTTGAGCTGGTTGTATCAGTGGAAGAGAGAAAGAAATAGAAGCAGACGATACAAGTATAAAGAAAATTAAGATAGAAGTGAAGCCTCATTGCCAAGGGAGACATACAATGCTTATTCAAGAGTTCCTGTTTGGCTGGGAGATGATGCTGTATTTCTGAGCTATATTTTGTACCCAGGCAGTGCTATACTAACAGTTGGGGGTATTTAGATCTCTGGTACATCGCTTGTTAGTGAATGGCTCAACAATGGAAAGTTTTACTTCAAGTGACCAATCTGAGGCCCCAATGTGGAATTCTGCTTTTTTATCCAGGATTGGGACGGAGGAAACCACTTCTACTATGATGACTTCTGATTATACTGATTATACTCTTACTACTGCTATTTCGGAAATTTTCTCTCCTGGTTTAGTTTTGACTAGTATTATTGAAAATTTAGTTTATGGTTTATATTTGGCTAGTACTACGGAAAATCTCTTTCCTGGTTTTGATTTGCCAAGTATTATTGAAAATATCATTAGGTTCGTTGTGAATAGTATTATGGAAAATCTCTTTCCTGGTTTTGATTTGCCATATATTATTGAAAATATCTATAGGTTCGTTGTGAATAGTACATGGGAAAATTCCACTATTTGTCCAAATTTGTCTAAGCTTCTGACAAATTTCTATCCTGGATTAAATAGGACTCTGGTTCAGGATTTTGTAACTACTTGTTTAAAGTTGATTGAAATTGATAGCATACACAAATTTCTTTCATTAATTTTGAAAGAAATATCAGAGAAATGTTTGAATTGGATTGATAATCTGGTAAATATACTGACTATACAGAAAGCACCTTGGGTGAGAGATATAATTTGTATGGATTGGCCTCCTATTCTAAAAAGGAAATATCGTGTACTTAAGTTTGTGCAAAAATTATGTTCTTTAGAAATTGAAATTATTAGGAATATGAGTAAGTGTGTGTGTAAAGACGGTTCTCTAAGGGTGTGCATACTTAAGGCAATTGGTATTCCTGATAATTGTTTCGAAGGGAATTTCTTTGTCGAGATACGTGTACTTGAGTGTCTAGCAGCATCAAATATTACAAAGTGTTGGAATGAGATATGTTGTGAAGAATTTGATTTTAGAAATTGGCTGAAATATGGTATGTCACCTATTTACATTGTGTATATATCTAGTAGTAGTAAATTGTTATCAGGGAGATAGTCGGATCTTATCTACTCTTACCGTAATTATTGTTACCGTTTTCAACTGCATTATTATTATAACTGCATTGTATCTCTTTCAAATATCTTAGTCACTCTTTCTTTATTTTTTAGCATTTGTTTCTGAGAGCGATGCATCCTCTAGAGGTTAATGGCTAGTTCGTCAAAGTTCTACAACGCCCGACCCAATCAATATTCATATATATACGGAAATGCATATATATATATACATGTAGACAAATACATTTCTGTCTGTTTATTTGATGGATATAATGTGCATTTCTATACTTGAAGATTTGCACCTATTGCTGTATGTAGGCATGTCCATTTATGTGATTATTCATTGGGTCGGGCCTCGCACACTTATAACAAACTGACCGAAAGTCCCAAAACCAGGGTATCATGGGAACCCAAACCTAACCTCTTCTACCTTCTATTCATTCCCTAAACAGCCTGTACCTCACACTTTATAAGCATTTTGTGCCAACTTAAAGTGGACATTTTGTGGTAAATATGAGGCCACTGCAGCTTTACCTATTTCTTTTGCTCCTTAAGATGGCGGTGTCCATTTCCCTATATCTCCATGCAGTGCTCAAGGGAACTTGTACTTTTATTTATTATTTTTTTTTATTTATTTTTAATTTTTTATGATCCCATAGATAACCTGTGTCTAGACAAAAGGTAGATATTTTGAATAGAACTACAGCAAGCTTGGCCTCTGTGCTTGATTCTGCAGAAAGGCAAATAACCATGCATATTGAACAAGAAACAACTTTAATTTGTTCCTTATTTGATGATAAGTCACAACACTGGTCAGCAAGTTCTGTCGTGCCAGGATAATTCTTTACAGTATGGACGCACTCCCCAGAGATTGTCCCCCAATCAACGTCACAAATTTTAGTTATTAATGTAAGTTGTGACTGGGCGAGCTCTTTGGGTACTGCCAAAGGTGTGTGTTGATGGTCCTAATACCCTCCGGGAAACATTGATTTCACCTCGTATGCATGACAAGATAGAGCTCAAGAATACCGAGTGGAGTTAGGTCGAGAATGGCACTTTCCATGATATTTTACCTTAATTTTTGGTGTTATCATCTGTGTCTGCAGATTATTCCTTGTACTGATGACTGCAACTTATGTCCAGTACAAGAATAATATTCAATTTGCCTGAACTTAGTAAGTCCTCATTGTAAAGATTAACCCTTGCCGGAATTCAATTGGGTGTGGTTTTATTGACCATTGCTGTAACACAGACTGCAGAAGGCCACTTAATCTTTCTATATATATCTTGGGAACTTTGAAAAGTGTTTGTAGTTTTATATTCACAGTATGCCAATTGTTTTATATTCCTGGCACTTGATAATGGGGGTTTTATGTATTCCATATTGCCATTACATTATTTTTTTTACTTAAGATTGTACATGATAGTTGAGTGGATTAATAATTTTTTTTCTAGTTAGGCTTGAATAATGGTTGAACTCAATTGTTGTTACAATATACCATGATTTCTAAACGTGAATTTGTATTTTGTTCATAGTGGAACAGTGTTAAGGCCTCCTGTTATTTCTCCAACAAAGGGCAATCATATGTAGAGCTTCATCTGAAAGTCCTCCAAACTCTTGTTCTGCAACAGAATTATGTAGTCGGGAGGAATCATAGCTTTTGCTGGAGCTCTTGGCAAGTACAGAGGCCAAACTTAGATCTGCGACAGTTGCATAAAGTGTAATAGTAAGATCTATCATAGGACTGAACAGTATAGATGGTTGTATAATGTGCATATCAAAAATGCAAGTAAAAATCATGGCAAATGTTGGTAGATGTATATTTGTTTTTGATTTACATGTAGTGATTTCTGGGATTAGCAGAATGATGGTGGTAGTCGTTGAATGTCCACCTTATTAACAAGGGACAGATTTTAATTCTTTGGATTCTTTCATTTTACTTTAAGGTACTAAATGCCAATGTAACTTTGCAAGCAGAAATGTGTTGCAGTATACAGTGCCTGCTATAAATAACCATTTACTTAAATGTTACACTATATTACTTCTGCTACAATGGGTTTGCATAACTATCATCAAATCATAAATTTTAGAAATGTTAAGAAATAACTTGTTTTTAAAAGGTTTATGAAGCTAAAAATGGCTACTTCTTTACAGTTCCAGAAGCCAAAAAGGATATAGTCAAACTAATGTGGGCAATCCTGGTATTACTTCTTCTGTTTTATTTCATCTGTATATTCAGTATGTGCATTGGCGACAGTGAGTACCAAAGTGTGGGAGTTTTATTTTGTTTCCTCTCTCTCTCTCTCTCTCTCTCTCTCTCTCTCTCTCTCTCTCTCTCTCTCTCTCTCTCTCTCTCGTCTCTCTCTCTCTCTCTCTCTCTCTCTCTCTCTCTCTCTCTTCTCTCTCTCTCTCTCTCTCTCTCTCTCTCTCTCTCTCTCTCTCCTTCCTCTCTCTCTCTCTCTCTCTCTCTTCTCTCTCTCTCCTTCTCCCCTCTCTCTCTGCTCTCTCTCTTCTCTCATCTCTCTTCCTCTCTCTCTCTCTCTCTCTCTCTTCGCTCTCCTTCCTCTTCTCTCTCTCTTCCTTGCCTCTCTCTCTCTTCTCTTCTCTCCTCTCTCACCCTTCTCTCTCGCTCATCTCTCTCTCTCTCTCTCTCTCCTCTCTCTTCCCTCCTCTCTTCTCTCTCTCTCTCTCTCTCTACTCTCTCTCTCTCCTTCTCTCTCTCTCCTCTCTCTCTCCTCTCTCTCTCTCCTTCTCCTCTCTCTCTCTCTCCTCTCCTCTCCTCCTCGTCCTCTCTCCTTCTCCTCTCTCTCTCTCTCT